TTTGAACAGGCTTTTTTTGAGTAAGTTTTTGTGCACAGTTTGTCATTTCTGCCCTTCTATACTCATTCCAACCATCAAAATCCTGCCTGGACACCCCATTTTTCTAACCCATACCCTAGCCTGGTGCACACTCCTAACTGTAATATAGTGGTAAAATACCATTGAAAATAGGGCGATTTTGAAATGGCCTTCCTTGAGTAAGTTTTTCTGCCCAGCTCAACGTTTCTGCCCAATTTAAAAGCATTCCAAGCATCAAAATCATGCCAGGACACCTCGTTTGTACAACCCAACCCAGTGATGGTGAACCTTTTAGAGGCTCAGTGCCAAAACTGCAATCCAAAACCCACTTATTTATCACAAAGGTCCAGCATTGCAATAAAATCTAAAAATTGAGGGTTTTGTTTGGAAAACACAACTCACAGCCAATTCAAGTAAATATAGATATATTCTTGGCAACTGACTGACTTGCTATGCGAAGGCACGGATGAGTCATGGCTAATGAGTTGCAGCCCGTGACATCATCACCTGGTGCCTCTACTCCTTTTCAAGTGTGCTCATCACCCCTGTGTGCACTGTTTTTCGATGCTCAGCTCCTGGAGCAATCGTGTGGTGACTTGGCTCACATGCCAACTGTGGCACGCTTGGCATAGATTCGCCGCCACTGACCTAGGACATCTTTGGACATCGAAATGTTAGGGGTACCTCCTCAGAGATTAATCAAATGCTTTCTAAATAAATTAATCCTGATAGTCGAATAAGGGTGTCTCCACTTTTGAAATGTCTCAATAAATGCTTTTCACATCAAATAAAGGATGAATTCCATTTTTCTTCCTATTTCACAAAAGATGTCCTCTGGATTCCTGTAAAAGATAACTGTATTTTTCTTGAACTGTGGTAAAGCTTTTTGACTCTTTCCATGCAAGAACCTAAAAATTCACTATTGCCACTGTCAATCCATTGCACAGACATTTCAGGTTTGCTGGGAATATTAAACAGCATTCCCTTTTTAACACTTCTGACCTCCAGATTGCCCTATTTTTGCTGAAAAAAATAAAATGGATTGATTTCCTTTTGGGGGTTGCTGCAAGTTCGACAGAAAATCAAGATTTACATTTGCAAATGATGCACTCCACTTAGACGGGCTTGAAACATAATCCAAAGGATTGAAGGCTCAAGATGAGGTACTGCTGCTGGAGATGACCAGTTTCCATGGCAAGTGTGTAAAGTTGATTTTTTCCTTATCTAATTCATTATTTTATCTGAATTTGCCAACAGTGGCACTGATGATAAACTCTTGTGAAGTGTTCACCCATTCACACTGATCTCTTTTGCACATTTTCATATTGCAACACCAGCTGTGTTTAATGCAGTCTATGTGATAGACCGGCAGGGACTGATGGGAATCCAGACCAGGTTCAAACAGCTAGAGCATATGAATCATGGTGGGAAAGAATGTACACTGAATGCACTTCTGTTCCTTTTGAACACTGACTTCCAAAGGTGTCTAAATTACTGGCTGCCCTATCAACTTTCCCCTAGTTTTCACTTTGTTAAATTGCTGTCTTGCTTTGAGTTGTGTAACAAAAGGATAAAAGTTATAGCCATTCATGGGCAATGAACTATTTAGTGCACTGTTCTGGAGTGCTTTTGACATAGCTAGATGATTGAATTCCTGTGTGTGCTCTCTCTCTTGGGCTATGCTAAGAAAATATTTTCTATTTTCTATGTTTTATTTTGAATATTCACTATATTTTATTTTTTAAGCACTTTCTATTAGCTGCCTTCAGGATATTGTTCTCTGCTTCGTAGAACTTCTCCAAATAATCATGTGGCACACAGAAGCATTTGTTAGGAGGGTAAAACACTGCTTCTTATTTGCTTGTGAGATTTACCCTCAAATCTACTCTGTGGAATTCACTTATCTCAGGTTGGTTGGGTTTCCTCAGACAATTGAATCTTATTTCTGCTGTCAACAAGCTTGCTTTGACTGGGTTTTAGAATGCATCTCCTATCAGGTATTGCTACTGGAACATGCTAAGAGTTCAGGCAGCCTGGGCCAGTAAGGGTGAATAAACTGTTTCTTTTGCTTGTGCTAATTGAGCAAGAATATAACCTCCCTGTGGGATTTTGTCTGCTTAATAGAAGAGGAAAACTTATTTTTGGCTATTTCCAAGGTCTTCTTACTAATTTGTGTATTCATATTCAAAGCTTCAGTCATCCATGTTTTGTCTCCATTCAAACAAATGATCCCACTTTCATGATAAGGATATTTATGTTTCTTCCCAGATAACTTTCTGAATTCCTAGTACAACAGAATGGTCCATTGTGTTGGATACGCTATATGGATCCAACTATTGGTATGTAAAAAGATTTGGTGGACAAAGATGTCAGCAACAGATGGCCTTCTCTGGGAACCATCTGTGAATGATATTAGGAGGGTGAGCACCGGAGGAGGGCTTTGTCTGCGGTGGCGCCCCATCTATGGAATGCGCTCCCCAGAGAGGTCCGCCTGGTGCCGTCGTTATTTGTTTTTCGGTGCCAGGCTGAGACCTTTTTATTTAAAACTTATTTTAATTGTTAATTTATTGGTATTTAAAATCCTATAAATACCAATAAATTAACAATTAAAATAAGTT